TTTCACATCCCAAACTTCAATGTGAAACAGGCTTAGCTCGCCTACTGTACAGTTTATGATTCCTCAAATGTTTTGTCACTACCGTTAGACGATGTGTTGCTGAAGCCTACCGTTAATGAGACTAAAGTTGTGCGGCATCACAAGTTGCCACATTTTAATACAGTTGGCATTCCTTCGAAAGCGAAATGTTGTAGCCTTGCAAATATTCTCATAATTCAGTTGGCCCATGTACATTTGTATCCGAGGCTTCTATATTATGGGGTGTCAAAATGTCCCCTCGCATACATGTACTTGTGCTCAGCTATATTTAATACGAAGCCTGCGAGTTTCTGAAAAAATATCTAGCGATTTCAATAAAGTTGTAGTTATTTTGTTCCTTGTTCGTGACTGGTTTCATTCCGCTTTAAAAGGTCTTACTCTTTTTAAGTATTCGGTTCCCATCGGGAACGACTCCCTTTTTTGTGCTACCCAGAAGTGCGTTTCTGGCATCACCTTCCTCTGCCATTGTAGTAAATTTCTAAACTTGAGGTTGCGATACCGAACATTGTCAGTTCTGGTGTTCTTAGCTCCATATTACACTGAGGAAACCTCGCACAAGATTCCTGTGTATACATGGTTTGCCTCCACTAGACATTCTGTGTCCATCACAGGTATATACGGTTGAAGATATAGTTTCCTGATGCTATCTGTCCTGAGTCGGTTCATTCGTAGACGCACAAGGAGTCACTTTTCACTTTTGCATGTAATGTAGATGTACACAGGTGGTGAAGGCTGTTATTGGAGGACGACTGACACATTTGTGCCGATTCTGCTGATGGTTCCAATTTGGTTGTGCAACAGCAAGACATTCTCCCCCTAGCACCATTTTTTCTCATGACCTACTTGTTCCGAGGATCGGTTCATGGTTATCTACCTGTTGATTGAAAGCAGCCGTTTTGGCCATCCTCACATTCTGAATAAGTTTTCCAGCTGTTCGTATTTCGGTGGTTTGTAAAGTGGACAACATTCGCCTCGGTAGCTGAACCAGTGTAGCATGGTTTTCACGGCATGCGTGGCAGACGTAGAGAAACCACGGACACGAAATATGCAGCATAAATTAAGTGGAAGTTTTTTCCCTAAAAACCTTAAGAGGTTTAGTCATGTTCTTAAGTTGTGGTCCAGAAATGTAGACGAAGCACTCGTTTAACATTTAAAAAAATTTTTGCACATGAATCCAGTAGTCCATTGAATCTGATACACATTCTGATTTGAAAATGAACTTGACAAGTTAGTGGGTCAAGAAAATGGAACTAGATGAAGACGGAATTGTGTATTAAGTATTTGCACGTGTAAGCCAACTCTCATAAACTGTCAATGTCTAACTCTTACTACGCTGGACCTCACGCTGTCCCTCGAAGACTTTCAGAAACACTTTGTATCAATCAACACGAAAACCAGAAAGCAGATTGGCGACTCCAGAATCCTTTATTCTAACGCCAATACGTAACCAACAATAAAGTTATTACACAGAAGGTCTAAGAATAAATGTTATAACAGTAAATCACGATAATACTTCTGATAGTTGCTTATCTTCCACTGAACAGCGAACGATCGGACGATGACTTTTGGATTGATGACCCGCCAAAAATATGGAGGAGTTGGGTTTGAGCAAACAACCATGAATCGATCGTTCAATCTTCAACTACGTTGACATCATTAATCGCCCCGTAATATGCGGCGTGTTGAAATTATGTCCCCTCTCTTTCTTTGGTATGATAGAGGGAAGGGTCTTGAATGCTTCATCCTTTTATCATAAGTTGGGTGTGAGATACCACTAACTAATTTGGTTCTTACCCTTCGTACCCTTTACAAAAGATGTCCCTCCTTCTTGCAGCATAGACTAACCGCTTATATACAGTATTCCAGATGAGGCCTGACATATGTTGCGTGGAGTGCTTTGAACATAGGCTCATCTAATAGTTTGCCAGCTCTTCAGAGTGCTCATATAGTTCAAAAAGCCTAAGCTGCAGCTGGACTGCGATTTTCAGGCGTTCTCAAATCATTATCGACAATGATTCCTAGGACCTTCTGTCCGTTAAAATCCGGCAATTCCTTGACCCTTGGGGAGTACGACGTATGAGACTTCTGACCTAGATGCATTACTGCGCTCTTCCTAGAATTAATTTCCAAACTCCGCGGGTTCGACCACTCAGCTAGCGTATCTGGATTCGTTTGTAGGGCAGACCTATCATCGATATTATTTATAGTTTTCCAGATCCTAAAGTCGTCCACAAATAATACTGAGGATGATGTAAGAATCCCTGGTAGTTCATTAGAGTATAATATGAATAGCAAGGGGGCTGATACAGTTCCCTTGTCAATTCACCGGATACTGCTTTCCGCCTTTATAACACACTCTAACCTGCCTTCTATCAATTAGGTAATCCCTAAACCACTCACATAGGCATTGGTCTAATCATAAGCCTCTAAGTTTACTAAGGAGAACTTAGCACGATACTTTATCGAATGCCTTACTAAGATCGATAAAAAACCACGTTCAACGGAAGGAATTCATCTCTGGCCTTAACCCAGCCTTCCCTAGCCAACAGTAGGCTTGTCAGAGGATCGTCCTGGTCGGAATCCATGCTGTTCCTCCGCGAGCAAGCCATACCATTTATGTCAAGGCATACCAAACCAGTAACTTTAGTTAATCAACTTCCGAGAAGTGAACGACCAGGTAAGATGCTGAGAGGCAATTTAACCTACAAGTGTACATATAAGTTCTCTGTGAAAAGTTGTAGTGGTTGACACCTTCAGATATTACACATGGGAATTTGAAAACGTACGTGATGACTGTTGAATAAATTTTGGTCACAGGATTTCATCATGAGCTGACATCAGTTAGAGATTTTCTTAGACAACCGAAGCTACACTGCACGGAAGTTAAGTGTTTCAAATTGTAATGAAACTGTCATATTTAATGTGAACAAACATTTGTTGGTCCATTACGTTATAAGTACTTATTTTCTCAGGTGAAGGTTTTCTGGACACCTGATTTTCGTATATCGATCCTTGCTAATAATTGAACACTGAATGCATTGCTATGTGTATAGTGATAAACACGCAGATTTCGATTTTCTGCAAATTTTTTCAAGTGGGCATCGTTTTACCTACTGCGGAAAAGGCAATTGAGTATTTTGCCCCTGTTCACTAGTTATTATATAAGTAGTCTGAATAGTCAATTCTGGTGCATCTCACTACTTGATTTCTACTGCACCCAGCTAGAATTGTCTTCGGGTGTGTTTGTTACGTATAATCAACACAGCTGTTTGATGTTCTCGAGTTTCATATTCTTTTTACTAATCCTCATAGGCCTTATTTTACAACTTGATTCACATATTGGTAGGAATACCTTGGAGTTCGCAAATTTGAACCCATAAATTGAATCCAGTGCTAGAAACACAGCCCCGGGGCTGTTTTGTCCCCATTATACGCATTTTGTCCCCATTCTTCAAGATGTTGTCCCCATTTTCCCCAAAATGTCCCCACATTTGTCCGATCGGGCCATGCTTAAGGTAGTGCTGAATTAAATCTCACAAATTCTGTACTAAATCTGACTTTCTATAATGAGCAAATTCTGAAATTGTACTAAGATGGCTTGATTATGGGTACAAACTAGAACTCAGTGCTGATTTTCAGCATGACTCGCACCAATTCAGCACCATGTGCTGATTCTAGGCACTTTAGAATTAGCTCAGTACCTGCTGGGTTTGCTAATAAGCGTTGTTTCAGCCCTCTTAGCCCAGATTCAGCACTGACTGGAATTACTTCATAACAAAAAGAGTTTATTCAGCACATACTGGCAATTTTAGGTAGATAAAATATTCATTTAACATAAAAAGGCATTATTGACGCATAGGTTAGAATTAGTTAAGAATTGTTGTAAGCGTGAGTGCGATGATAAAATGTTATTATACAGCCAATAGGTGCTGCGAATTTGCTAGTAATATTGCAGTTTGATTATGCAAAAAGCAACTGAAACATGTGAGGAGATTTTGAGGCGATTCTAAAATGACTCTGTGTGTTGCATGCATACGTATCTGTCGAGTTCTTTTCTATTCGAATAAATATCACAGTTTTGTGTATCGACTTCAAACCACATCGGTAAATACCATTGGCCTTTCTTTAATCCATATCATTTTAGGTTATAAATCTGTCGCATCATGCAGGCTAGTGGTATAAGGTTGTCACTCAACACTAAAGTTCAATATCCTTTGATTTCTTCAGTTGGAGTCAGATATATTCTCTTGTTAATTCATGCGTTGTGTTGAAGAGCATCTACATCAATTGTGCGTTTTAGTTTTGATCTATTAGTTACCGACCCCTCACTACCAGTAATTGTAAAACTAAAGAGATATGTAGTCCAGAAAGTTTACGGTCTACATCCAGCCAGTGGTGAGCACAGATAGAATACTTCGAAACTAGTCATTTTTTTTTGACAGATCGCTAGTAGCTCTGGAACCGCTGTGACTATTTTCACCATGCATTGGCACCAAAAAGCGTTAGCCTACAGCAAAAAAACACACCTAATCTGAGTGAAGTTCTTAGTTGTTCAGAATTTCGATGAAATCTGTATTTCAACAGAGGTAAGCAAATATTTGTCTAAGCATGAAAACTGTTCATTCTGAGACTGCTTTGGATCATATTCAGTTATTAAAAGCCTAACGAGTTGTGTAGAATTCCAAACTTCTGGTAGATGATTACATGTATGACGATGAGTGAAAGTTACTCACGGATAAGGTAAATAGAAGTTTCTGGAGTAGATTTGTCAAACAGATTCGAATAATAATTTGTGTAAATGGTCCTTTATTTTGTATACCTTATAGTTTATTTATCTTGATGTAATTGTTTACTCATAGTATTTCACAATATTTGGTTTTAACTTTTTTTAGAATAATTGAGTACTGCTGAAGAATGTGTTTTCTACCAAATAATTGTAATGCTTATTGAAATAAGAGGGGATGGCTTTACAAATAATGACCGATGGGAGATGCAATTTCACTAATTTTTCTTATGATCTTGAAGATGTATCAAATATCCGACCAACGTATAGAAAAGCTGTTGTAAAGGAAGATGTAAGTGTTTTCATCAGATAAATGATGCACTCAAGAAATTAATTTTGAATAAAATCACAGTGTTTGAAAGTTGGCTGATTTCTTCCACTGTATTATACTAGTAATTGTTTTGTGTAAAACTGACTACATAAAATAGTGGTTATTTAGTGAAATCTTAATTAAAAAAATTAAAAAAATATTTCCTCACAACTTAATCATACTACAAATAGTAGCTAAGGGGCGAATACCGATAGTATACGTGGCTTACATATCGCAATAACCCAAGGAGCTATACTGGCTCAAATAAATACCGCAGACGGTTATGTCATACCACAAAGTTGACTTGAACTTCCGCACATTTGTGCAAAGTTCTATGTCGAAAACAGACAGACAGACAAAGTTTAACTGAGTGGCGATTACACCAGGGTGAAGTTGTATTGTTGGTAGACAGAGGTGTATCAGTTATAAGGTGTTTTCAGAAACGACCAAGCTGGCTATACGACGTTTGTGCTCTGAGGAAGTCTTGTATGTACATAAAGTTTTACAAATACGGCTTACAATCAGACCATGAGTGACAGGCTTCAAACAGTGGTCCTCTGGGATCTGGGGCCACACAACGGTAGTTCCTTCCCTCTCTCAGAAACCTAAAGATAAGCCAACCCATCCTGTTGAGGGTGCCGAAAAATGGTAACTGCTTCACTAGCCTAAACTCAAGCATCTTAAGTCTTGCACTTATGCTGCGTCATTGAGAAACCCATTATAGACTCAAATGTAGTCACTCAACCAACTCTACCTGGCATAAGTGGTGGACCTACGAATTTTGTCTTACGGGTGTCATAAGATCTGTCATCTAGTTTTCATGAAAGTGCTAGTGTTAAGTGATATAATTTGGCTGGAGAAGGGAAAACACCTCTCGATTAATTGCAGTCCTGATAGAATAAATTATTAGTTTGATTGCAATGTATGTAGTTTACTTTCAGAAATAAGTGTAATTTAATGCTCAAGTAAGAAAGATGAACTGAGTTAAAAAGCACAGTATATATATATATATATATATATATATATATATGAAGTCCGATTCTGATGTCATTAATACTGACCGTCTCCTAACAATTTTGTTCAGATAACTTTGTGTTCCTGGCCGCCACTGATGTTTAGCACAATGAAAGAACGTTTTATTTAGGGAAGACCTTCACACCAAGCATATACAATTTTATGTAGGAACGGATGTAATGAATATTGGCAGACCAATAATTGAAAAATGGTTGTAAATTTCTACAGGTCTTTCTCAACTGATTGAGGAAACAGTGATCATGAGAAGCTCCAGAAGTAGTGAAGACTAGAAGCTGCTAAATGTCTTCAATATGACCGCGTGCCATGGTAGTCGATTAAAGCCATAGTAGAACGTTTATCTAGTGCAGGCGTTCTTTATGTCCCTCTGTCTATCTGTTTGATCTGTGTATTGAGTTCGGTAGATGTGAGAATACTTCCTATTATTGAGTTTTATCTCATATATGGTAAGCGATTATGCTCAGTATTATTGTTGTTAATTGTAAAGTTCTAGATAATGAAGGATGGGTAGTCGGTCAAGATTTAACCTGCCTTTCTGAAGTCCATTTCATGCTAAATATTAATGGCTGGCGACTGTTGGCGACATGACGTAAAATAGTTCTGAATGGCGCAAATGTATTTGCCCCCTTGTTATCTTCCGGACTCTGAAAGTTCTCATTAACCTTAAAAATAAAGAGAAGATTTGTATCGCAGGATTTAATGTTGATGACTAGATGCCAAAATCAGACAATCCACTGATTTTCATTTAGTCATTATTCACCTTGTCCACTGCAGTTTCACTACATTTCTTTTGATTACCCATATGTATACTTTTCCAACGTCTTGCACGTTGCAATAAAAGCATTTTCAAGCGTTGTTTCACCAGGTTTATCTTAAAAGTTTCTATTTTTAAAGATTTTACTATTTCGATTTTGTGGGAATTTAAACAAATTGTAGATGTGAATAACTAAATGGAACCGTATTACAGGTGTTAATGTGACTTTGAGTAATCCAAGTGAATGTCTGTTATTTCACATATGTACAAATAAAGGCGTAAAGCAAATTTCAGCGTACGCTGTTTAGAGCTTGGTGCGGAAGCAAAGTAATCTGAAGCATATTCTCTTCAGACAGAACTTCCTGTGACTCATTTTTAAAGATCCGTAATACTTCATAAATTTCTATATTTGATTAACAAATCAAAGCATGGTTGAATCAGTGATAAGTTGTGTTGAAAGAAATTTTCGAGGATTTCTTGTTATTAACTGTCGTCTTAATGGAAATAGATATTTCTCGATTTTGGTAACTCTAGCTTAAACTGTCTTGAAGACGACTGTCTTAATAATAACTGGCGCTCTAAGGCCCTTCAGTTTTCCTGTATGTGTAGTTGTGAAGCGTCACCTAATTAAAGTGAGGTGAATCATGTCTCGCTACTTTTCGAAACCTTATATACATGTTTGGTGTAATTTTCTTGAAAGATGATCGAGTCGATTATGGCTGCATGAATTTTATTCTTTTCATATATTTTAGAGTTTCAGTTTTTTCCTTCGATATAGTTAAAACTTTTCAAGGGAAACCTTATCGAATGTAATACTAAAGGATTAATTTGAAGAGTAAGCCTGATTATGTAGATTGTGTGTAGTTTCAAGAAGAAGGCGAAATATAAGCTTGCCTTTTCTTAGTATAATGGATTTTCAATAGATATCACTTTGTGAAGTCTGTCTTTAAATTTGCCATTTACTCAATCAACTTCCTTTTGATTTATTTCAGCCTACAAGTGATGCGAAAAGAGAAGGTGCTGGAGCCGCACAGAGTTCCTCTATGGAATTACTGGGTTATGACTGGATAGCATCAATGGTAGATAATCAAATGAGATCAATGTATGCTAACATTATGGACAGTTGTGATAAAAAGTTATTAGGTTGTGACTCAGTTGACGACCAATGGTTAAATCGACAAGAACTTTTTGATGACCTCAATAAGTTTCGTCAAACGAATTCTGAATTGTGTTGTTCACAACAACCTTTAAGGTGGGTGTTTTAATGTTTGATATCCTCTTAATCATTTGTTTGGGGTTTCGTGAGAATCACATCAGTTTCCATGTATCATGCATTTCTCTTCGTCTAATACAGGTAGAGTAAAAGTGCGCCAAATTTTCCTGTTCCTAAGACAAATGCAGATAGATAAAGGTCGAGGATTTTAGTCCATCAGAGATTTTTTCCAAAGACTTGAAATGATTTTACTATGTCAGAAAAGATGACTAAAAGTAATTGATTCAAATTATACATATTTCCATTGTGCATTAGGAAATCATTATGCGTTATGCTGTTAATAGTCGACTGAAGATTGATTTCATTTGTTACCAAATTTATTTCTTAATGTAATTCTTTCAATAATTGCACGAATGAACATAGAATATACGTAGTTGGTAAACTGCATTTATAAAATTTTGACAGTCCTATCATTTATCGTTTTTAACCTTTGGTTATTGTGTGGTGAGAGCTGGCTGTTAGTCAAAATTGGTGGACAGTAATCTACATCAATGTTTATGTCCCCAATATTGGTCGTGTGAAAAATGAAAACAAAGGCTTTGGGTAGGCGGATACAGTTAACATATAGATGATCTGACATTCAAGAAACAGCCACAAAGGGATCCAAGGTTAACTTTCAGTGAGGAAGAACCAATCGGAAGACTGTGTTTTCCTGCTAACAGTAATCTAAAATGATGTACATGAAAATCTATAAATATGTGTTGATTTCTTTAATAAACAATCTGTTGCTTGGCCCTTGTCTTTTGTTGTTACAATTGTAGGTTTAAATTTTAGCGTAGACTTGAAAGAAAACTGACCTATTGTATATTCCGATGAGACTCCAGTGGTGCAAATCCTATAGCGTTTTCGCTCTTTTTAGTGCAATCAAACTTTGCCATTTATGAAGACACAATCAAGTTAAACTGAAAGGAAGACAGGAGGTTTACATATCGTGTGTTATTTCTTTTTAATTTCTTGCACTCTGGATGGGAAATAGGGTCTCAAACTTTGAAGTTTCACCAGCAGTGTTGTTTTTATAAGATGGGGTTTTTGGCCTTAGACTTAGTCTTCCCTATTTTCTAGCCTTTGCTGTCTTCCAGGAGAGGTTTAAGGATGTATTGGCTGAGAACAGAGCTCACACCTACCGCGCAACTACCTAGTATCCTACCATCGAACCAGTGATGCTATTATGGGGACAGGCCTAGTAGAATAGATTTTATGTTATCAACCAGACCATAACAGGACAAACTAAACAAAATTTCAACTATATAGTGAAATCCATTTACAGTAGTTAATAATTAAACCGAGTGTAGTTTTATGGTCTGTTTACTGACGAGGCGCAGATAATGTGGCCCTAACTATCAAAATAAGTATTTTCAATTAGCAAGAACTATATAAACAGTTTAGTTAGTTTTAGATGGATGACTGCATTATATTTGGGTAGTCAACTTTACTAAACACAGCAAACCTAATACGGACTTATATAAAATACACTAAGTTGGCCATAAATTGTAGTTATAGGTATACGTGATACAGGACTTCTTTTGTTATGGAGACTAAGAAGATGTATCGTGTTTGTTTGAAGTAAGTATGCTTACCCTTTGAGTTTAGTGGATTTTCAAGGTTGTATTTTTATTTCTCTGTGATTTAAAGAAAATCAAGTTGTATTATTAAAGCTATGATAAGGCTATTAGCATGAAATAGCGAAACGTCATTAAAAACAATATCGTTTTGTTTCTCATTCATTGGGAAATAAAAAAACCTTTATTATAATGAAAATCAAGTTGTATTGTGCTTAATGCAACATCCAGTTTATAGCGGACAAACGGTTTACATCCTAATTAAAACAGAGTATCGCATGTTACGTAAGATGGAAAGGTGTTCATAGAGAGTTATTTCATTCTCGTTCGTATGAATCTCACTATTTTTGAGATAATTTCTAGTTTCTTTGAGTTACTTTGTTATCTAATCTTGTGATGGGGGTAGTCTCTAGTGAATTAATTTCCTAATTTTTGGTTTTACAGTTATAACAGTGAATTTACTAGAGTTAATCCTACACGACCTACATCAAGTGTCAGACAACTGATGCGATCAATTCCACCTATTAGAACTAAGAGTTCTTCACACCGTATTTCAACACCACCAATTACATACAATTATACACTGAATTCTAGATTGTTTCCTATAAGAACAGATATTTTGGCTGATGATGAAAAGGCAGAAAACGACACGGCGAACCCTGTGATTCTGAGGTAGTTTTATTTTTAATATCTTTTGGAGTATATTTAAATGTTAACTAATTTATGAAGTATTCATACATTTTGTGGGGAATTGGAATTATCTGCTTTTGACCTTAAGTGTTCCACATGTGTGAAACCCAGGGAGAAATCTTGCACAGTGTGTTTATTTTCATGATGTAGCGTATGAGGGCTGAAACATCAGGGAGTTTTTCACAGAGTTTGGAAGTGTTCTCTCTCACACTGGGAACAATAAATACTAAAATATCGATTATTATCATCAACCCACTCAATTTTATTCAACATGCTTCCGATCTCAAATCATTATTTTGTGTTGAAAATCAATGTTTCGCGCCAACAATATCGAATGTGGCACCAGAAGCGTAAGTATTGTAGACAAGTTCTTACAAGGTTGTGTACTAATAATATTCTGTAGAATAAATAATTAAATGAAATACATTTAAGAGGTCATCAAGCACTAATGTTCTACCCTCTGCAAACAGATAGGTCTCAAAGTCCATTGGATTTTGGATATAAGAAATTATTTTGAACTATTTCTACAGGTTAACAACATGAATAAATAGGTGTAGACAAAACAAAATTCTAAATATCCGATTAACTGTTCATACAACAAGTTTTGTATGAATTTATTGAAGCAGAAAAACAGGTGGTAATAACAATGTGAAAAGTCTGTTAGTAAGCGCAGTTTTTTTCACAGATAGTCTGTTATTCAATAGCTATAAATATAATTAGTGAAAAAAACATGGACTGTAAAATTATTTACAATAATGTGAATTTCCAATAAAGTGGTTGCCAAGTATCCCTGATATATTGGATAGAAATTATTTTTGTAGTTTATCAATGTCTAAGTGTTCTTAAGAGATTCTGTGACACTGCGTTCCCAGTGGAACATAGGGCTTCAAGCTAGAGCTTTGAAGTTTCGGTGGCAGTAGTTTTATTTTTACGGGATAGGATTGCCAAACTGACGCCTAACCTTCCCTCTTTGTCAGACTTATTATCAGCTAAGCGAGGTTTGGAGAGCGTCGGTTGGGGATCAAACCCAGAACCACTTGAGAGAGTGGCTGGTGAGCATTATGCCTCTGCGCCACCGACGCACTCTGTGACATGTTATTTATCTTATTTGACCAAAAAGATTAGTTGAATTCAACTACTGTGAAAGGGTTATTCATCTTCGTGCTATCCTCGTTTTCATTTTGTCAAGTATAAATATGGTCTTCTGGTTGTTTCCTTTTGACACTATTATTATCTTATAGAGTCAAGTTATTCAAATCACATTTGAACTATTTAAAGTGAGAAATTTCGAAGGGATTGAATGTCAGAAGAAGAAGGCCTTACAGATAAAAAATCACATTGTTGCTAAGTATAAGTAGATAAACCGCATAGATAAAAGAGTACCTAAGATCATTGAGCACTTCGTCTGATCTCTTTGTCAATAATTGTTTATGTCATAAATGATGAGCGTATATCATGCAGAGAGTACTGTCAACTTTTAGACAGGTTTCAAATTTGATCACATATTGATGTCAGTTAGAGAACCACTGAAAACCAGAGGCTTCTGGGCAGTTGTTTCATCCCACTTTGGGACTCTTCATCAGTACAAACTTGCTGAGGTTCGAATCCAGGACCTCCCGCTTACAAAGGAAGCTCATATGTCATCCAGCCACTACACCTCGACCTAATCGTCCATGAATCCCAACTTCTACCAGTTAGTGATTTTAATGCAATCACTAGATAGGTGTTAGTGAATTCGATTCAACAGCGATATATAATCTGATATCTTTTAGAAGGTCCAATGGTGGCTCGGTGTTACTTGGACGGTCATTTCAGAATATTCCCATTTTCATTAAGAGTTGATCAGTAATTAATTAATTGGTTTCATAATATCTCTTAACGTGTATAATACTGAAGAGCTACTTTCTGGGTATGTATTATCGATCGCTAATCGTACCTATGAATCTGTAATTTGACATAACTGTTTTAGTTTTTGTAATTGTATTGTGGAACCTTATTAACGAGTGTTTTTTAATTTTTTTAATACCGAAATAGATGCGTCTATACTGGTTGGCAAAAATTTCCGTATTTTACTTCAGTATGTCTTTTGGGGAATAGGTAATAGTTGTTATGTTGGTACAAATACACTGTGTATTAGGGAGTGAGAACTAAAGGCTTTCAGATAGAAAGTGTAGCATTAATTTATGAATTTATTCACCTGTTGACTGGGATGATTCCACTCCAAAGATGGTGTAAGTCAGCTCGAGCTGCTTTCGCTGACTTACATCATCTCTGGCGTAGGCGTGACATCCGGCTATCAACCAAGGGACGTGTGTACTGCTCAGCAGTTCGCTCCGTCCTTCTCTATGGCTCTGAAATATGGCCAATACGAGTTGAAGACATGAAAAGGTTGACTGTTTTTGATCATAGATGTCTGCGATCTCTTTCTCACGTTAGGTGGTTTAATAAGGTAAGTAATGTTGATGTTAGGCGTAGAGTGTTGGGCAAAGAGGGAAAATCAATCGACGAGGTTATAAAGTTACATAGATTGAGATGGCTAGGTCAGGTGCTGCGCATGCCTAACCATCGCCTCCCCCGACGACGGGAATTACTAGCTGATATAGGTGCAGGTTGGAAAAGAGCCAGTGGTGGCCAACCAAAAACATGACATCAATCCATGAAATCCTTGACAGTTAAACTGAGTCAGGTAGTGAGATGCAGACTTCCGGGTTGGGGTCCTCGGGACTGTAGGAATCAATGGCTGGAGACAATACGTGACATGGCTCAAAGTGATCGTTGTCAATGGCCAGCGCAGATGTATTCAGTCTCTGTAATCTTTCATATTTCTTTCTACCATTACCCATTCTGTTTCACTCTTATACCTGTCAAACTCTATTGATTCTCTTCACTCATCTTTTTGTCGACCTTTGTGTGCTATTTGGAACGTGGCAACTCAAACGGCTGCACCTCGGTGCCAAGTTCTATGTTGAATCCAGACAGACAGAAATAAAGTGATAATCTGCACTTTAAGTGTTGAAGATTCCCTGAAAAATTGTTTTCCTATGCTGCTGCCGGTCAATTAGGCATAGCGATTCTTCTATTATTACTATTGTATAATTCTTGAATTATTTTTTCTTATAAAACGAATAATTTTTAGGATTTCAATCCCATCAAATCGTCTGAAATGTATGAAATTACCAAATGACTCCTACGAGAAAAATATACCATTTCCATCACGTCGGTTAACGAATTCAATCTCCTTGATGGGACATTGCTACTAAATGATGAAAAGAGGAATATTGGTACAACACTGCATTTCTTCGTTATCGACAAAGTTGTGGAAGGTAATCGGGTGGATGAGTTCTGACAAATAATTCTGAACAGAATACTTGTGGAACACTAAATAATTGTAATTTCTCTGTACCTTTTGTATTCATCGATTGTGTTACAAGGTATTGTAATGCTTCACTTATTTGACTAAGCATAATAACTGTATAAGAACACATTTAAGGCAAATACATAAATCTGTGCAGTTTAAATGGGTTGAATTTCACAAAATGAAAATGTTTGTGGTTAAATGTTTTTTATAAGGCAGATTGATCGTTTCGATATGCTCAGTTCCTGTCGTGGGGAGCAACCCTTAATTTTCAATCCATTCAGTTCCAAATTGCTGTTTTTAGCTGCTTTCCCTATATCGTAGATGTTTTCCTTGAAATGTGTTGAATTAAATCTACTTGCTGGTAAAACAAGCTGGAAGCTATACGGCAGTTAACGAAACACCTCATGAAATCATTTGTGATGATGGTATAGCGACCCATGAGCCACATTATGTAGGCGAAATGAGTCAGTTTATAAAATGTGTTCTGACAAATACATCTCATCCTATTGAAGGACAGCATTTTGGTAGTCTAATAAGTTTCGTGAAAATAATCAATAAACCAAATAGTTTCGCTGACTGATTTGTGTCACAATTTCAGCAGTGGGATTTAGCACGTGTCAGTCTGCATCAATCTTCGCCACTGTTTTGCAAATCATGTGTCTTAAATCTGCCTAATTTTACAGATACTGAGTATGGTAGATATAAGTAGAGGGTTTCGAGAGATAGTAGGATCTTGACCGTAGTCAGCTTCTCAAGTTATTTTGGATAATGCGACAGGTTATTTTCTAATTAAACTTATGTTATAGCGTGAAATGTTAGACAATCCCTAGGACTGTAGGTCTTCATCGGTTAAGTTAGTATGAGCAAGTGTTACGTACACGAAATAGTTGCCTTCCTTGGTAAATAGTGTAGGATGAAATAAGATTAACGGCAGTCTCAGTTGACGCTTATCAAATGGAAACAAAGCAATCACCAACAAAGTCATCACTCACTGATCTGACTGGGAAATGTGTTAAAGTTCTCTGGAAATGGGTCATCAGGATGCTAAGAATTAGTCGTTCGAAACTCTTCATAATACGACTGAAAATTGTTGACGATGATCCAGAATTTCTCAAAATCTCCCTAATTTTTGTGAATTATTTTATTCCTCGCACTGACTTATATCTACTGTGACGTCATCCTATTTGTGTTCTCGAAGCGAATTTGTGCTTCACAAAGTTATGTGCCATGAAATTACTCCTTCTTGTGCAAGATTCTACATTAATATGTCAGCCAGTCATACATAATCTATGTCCGAACTTGGCACTTTCCAAAGACTCGCCTGAATCTACTTGAATTTTAAGGAGTGTAGGGGTAGTTATATCAGACACAGTAAACTGATTATTGACGAAATCATAGCACGGATACAAAAGTCTCTCACATGATCGGTAACTTGTCGCCAAATCTGTACACAGTAATACTGGCACTAAGGTTCAGTCATCGCCTCCCTCGACGAGCTATGTTAGCGGATATAGGGTCAGGCTGGAAAAAAGCTAGCGGCGGTCAAACAAAAACTTGGCATCAGTCAATGAAATCCACAACAGTTGGTCTTAGCCACGTAGGAAGGTGTAGACTTCCAGGCTGGGGTCCTCGGGACGGCAAAAATCTATGGTTGGAAACAATTGGTGACATGGCTCAAAATCGTTCTCAGTGGCGCAGATGCATCCACTCCCTGTGACTTATGATCTTCAATGAAATTGTTTTGTATTTCTTTATTACTCCTTTGTCTCACACCTCTGCTCACTGTTTCTATTATGCTTTTCTTGTACTTTCTTCTCTTGCTTCGCGTGCTACACGGAATGTGGCGACTTGAACTTCCGCACATTTGTGCAAAGTTCTATGTCGATAACAGACAGACTAAGGTTCAGTACTGAAATGCAATAAGCAACTCAACTAAGTTACTTTCTGTTGCACTGAGCTAACGGATAAGTCGGAAGACGAGATTGGTCTGCGTCGGTGAGAACATCAGCTTTATTAGACGAAAGTGCACCGTATGTATACACTACTAATAACCAATTTGATTAGTTGTATACAGTCGGATATCAAAAGTTGTTCAACCGAATTAGGACTATATCTTCTGCCTCACCAACCAACGACTTAGACTGTTGCTTCTAATTTGAGTAGGCTTAAACCTGCAGATATAGTTACTAGGCAAAATTAAGAGTATCTAGCAGTCTCGTTTAATACTTGATAACTTGTGACATCTTTTGTGGAGACAAAATATTTGGCTATCAGTTAAAGGGCGTGGAATATGTGGTATTTCGATTTGTCCTACCTTTAGGTTGTGAGACATTTTCGTTTAAAACAGGAGATATATATCATATCTTGTATTCGGTTGCCTTATCCAATTTACGAATAGTTGACTAAAACAGAGTTAGTAGTCCTTTATTATTACTAATCGTGAACTGTCTGTGTGTCCAGTTACATATCATCTCTAAACTGTGTGAGTTGAGTAAAGGTGGGAAAAATGGGTACACATAAACTAATTTTAACATTTCTTACATGTGTAAAAGCTTTCTGCGTGCTTGTTTCAATATCACTGAGATTTCTGTTAATTGTAATTTTTATACATATGAATGCATCTGTGTATAGTAGAGAATGTGAGTATAGTAAGTTGGTTGTATTCAAGAGCTAACAGATAAATACGACAGGTTAATTAGAAGCTTGTACCAGTTAGTGGGGTAGTTAGTACAAACAGATACCGATAGCTTGTTCTAATTTTAGAAGTTCCTTGCTATGTGAATTACAGTTCTGATTATTCGCTTCATATTATTAGGCTTTCAATTTTACATACTGCTATGAGATAAAATACTGTTTATATACTATACAAAAAGATTGTGATTTTGCTGAGAATACTACTGTGCGATAAGTTTTGGAACTGAGTTCAGGAGTTAATATATCCAATTGCCGCATCACAGCTAACAGAAGACACGTCAAAAAAATGGAAGAACAGAATGAAGACAAAAGAGTTAAAATATTGACCAGATAGTGGTTATTTCAAGATGTGTTTGTATTAACTTCCTGATGGATTCCAATTTTTAAACATTTCAACCGATTACTATAGTATGCGAGCTATTTAAATCTTTCTACACCATCTAGAAGATAGTGTTGCGCCAACCTTATTCCTTAGAATAGTTAACAATTTAGCGAGACTGCAAGATTGAGTCACAGAAATCAGTGTTTTATCATGCAGTCACCTGATTACGAAGAGTATGTTGGAAAGAACAAATCGTATATGTTATGATCTATGTCGCCATTTTGTTATGGATTGTCGCTAAGTGATGTAATCGCGTCGACATTTGGAATGACCCAGTGGACTTATGCGTGGGTATAATCGCACTGACGCAGTGGACAAATTAATTGATATGCTAAAAACGCCTATTCGTCCACAGTACCTTCCGCTTCACTAAGCCACCTAAATATCAAAAGACAAAGACTGGTCTATGACTGTTGGAATGAAACGTTTTTATTAGCAAACAACGGATGTCATATTTATATATTTTTAACTACATTAAAATTTTCCTAGGGAAATGGAAGTAGATTGTTCTGATTGGTAGGTGATTTGGTTATGTCCTTGAAAAATAAATATTCTGATTGGTTGGCGATTTGACCAAGACTAAGGTATGAAGAAGTTCATGAAACTTTGCAGTCATCCGATCGCAAAATTAATCATAAGATGATTACTGTTTTAAGCCGATTCCTATCACCAACAGAGAGTAGTTTCATAATTTATGGAGCCAAGCTAGCGCTCCTTTATTTACACTTGGTGCGCTTGTTAGTCAACCGTATACTGTAACTCTCCTTTTTAACTATTCGATAATTCTTTTGAACCTTATTTGAATTTTCAACATGCGACAGTGTTTTAGAACGTGAAAGGTAACTTGACGATTCCATGAGTTTGTCAAAGGACTCTAAAGTAATTGCTATTTTCCATGTGATAACGTGACATTTGCTCGTCCATTTAGCATAAACATAACGCTTGAGTAAAATCACTTAGTGTGACATGACACAGCGCATTTGCATTGATAGACGGCTCTCAGCAAATAAATCAGCCTTTATCTCATATAAAGTAGGGAGACGAGAATTTCCGCTTAAATTGCATTTTGCCAGTATCTCGCTGAGCAAGTAAAGATCTAATGAAGACAGGTGACCAGGTGACAGAAAGCTTCGAAGAAATAAATAAAGGGACGTCTGATATTCAGTACCACTCTATGCATAGCTTGCTTCACAGTGTAATGATAAATTAGATTGGTAGTAATAAGTCGTCTCAATTATCGAAGTGTGAAACTCTCACAAAAGGAATATTTGGGTGCATGTATTAGTGAGTGATCTCATAGGTAGCTGTAAGCTTTAATGACATTTTATGTACTCAATCACATAGCTGTTATCTATAAAAGTACAAGTGAAACACACTGATATAACGCTGAGATGATGGTTAGTTTTCAAAACACAAACAGTGGATGCTGTCACTGGACAGTTCTGTAAAGTATTGCTGTCCACAACAGATACTTGATAGACATTCTGGTCATAATCTTAAGTGTAAAGGAAATACTGAAGGTTTCAGGGTGATAAAAGTCCAAAGGTTAAATTAAGGCGAGAAGCTGAAACTAATATATTTCCCAAGCGATAGCTAAGTTGTATTTGTTTTGACTGAAATTTGTTGTAAACATATTTTCCATCATCTTACAGAGTGATAGTGAGACGAATTATCGAAAAGTATAGGAAATTAGTCGTGCAAGACTTCTGTTCTCTTATAAATACGGTGGTTTTGAATATTAAACAATCTCCTATATTAAATTAGTTTGATATAACATAATAAGTGGGTGGTGTTTCAGAGAAGAAATTCATTTTCTCTGTTTGGAGGCCTTCGTGTTCACAGAAATGTTACATAAGTAGTCATAAATTGTGGCAGAAGCGATTAATTGTCTCTCTTTAATATCTGTATTTTCCACTTTTGGGAATATGAGCACAGATATAAATGCATCATTGGTGTGATACTTTAAGTAAACTTCATGCAGATTTAATCAGAATCTTTTTTAGGTGAGTAAAGGACGAAAATCGATATCAGAATAATTTATGAACGCATTGTCTTTAACTGAACCAGCTCACTTAAACAGAGAATGTCAACGGCCAGTGTCAAATGCCCGTTAAGTTATAGACAGCTGATTTGCTGAAAATCTCCCCGCAAAAGTATCTTTTCTA